GGGGACAGGGGATGTTGGAGAACGAGGGGGGAAACGAGCCAAAGGCGAGTCCGGGAGAGGGAACAGCGAGCCATAGATCGGAGAGGCGGGAAGGGAGACACTGTGGGATGGACAGGTGGGTGGTGAAGGGAAGCGGAGGAAAGGCCGCGGAGAAAAGGGGCAGACTGTGGCTGCTGCAACTGTTACTGCTGCTGCTCCCGGCCCAAGCCAGAACCCTCAGCCCCACCACTGCCACCACCAGTACTCTCTGAGCAAGCACCCCCAGGACTAGCACCCCCAAAACCACCACCCCCAAAACCCGCACCCCCAGAACCAGCACCCCAAGTTTCCACAGTCCCCCGCCGCTGCAGTTGCTGCTGCTGCGGCGGCGGCAGCGGGGGAGGCTGCTGACATGCCTGGGGCACTGGGGCTGGAGGGAGGGGCGCCGCAAATGTAGCAGGCGCACCCCCAGCCCAGGGCCTCCAAAGGCAGCACACTCCCCCATAGGTCCAACCGAGGGGAGGCGAGTGGCATGGGAGACACCAGATGCGACCGGGTAGGGTGGGAGGGGAGCAGCAGGCAGAGGAGGGGCGATGAAGAGAGGGGGAGTAGGAACACGAGCGCCACGGTGAGGAAAGTGAGCGCAAAAGGAGACGAATTTTTGGAACGTCACGTCACGTGATTTAAAGAAGAGGTGCTGTTCTGGGTGGTAGAACAGCTAGTCACGATCGTCAAGCTGGAATCTAAGGAAGACACTGGGGATAGTGAAGGCTGAGAGCTTGTCCGCGCAAGAGGCGCGGACGTGAGCCAGACATCCTCAGCCGTGGAACGCAGTGGCAGTGACGCAAGAGGCTGCAGGTGGACTAACAGTAGCAACGGTAGTGGCGGTTGTGGCCACAACGGTAGTGAGAGTGGCGGAGCGGCTGGCTATTAGTAGGCTGGCGGCTAAGTGGCGGCTGGGCCGGCAAGGGGGTGGCAGGTGGCTAGTAGCTGGTGGCTGGCTGGCACCTGGACAGCTGCGGGCGGGCCGCTGGCGAGTGGGTGGCTGGCAGTCGGCAGGCGGCTGGCCGACTACGGGCTAGCGGCTGGCTAGTGGCTGGCTAGCACAAGGAGGCGGGCGGCCAGCGACAGGCAGGCAGCAGGAGCTGGCAGCAGCAGCGAGCAGCATGCAGCAGCAAAGAGCGGCAGGTGGCAGGGCCAAGCGGCATGCCAACAAATGCGAGTGGCAGGCTGGTGGCAGAGACAGCGAGCGGCAGGACGATCTCTTGCTGAATCTCTGGCTTGAGACCACCCACGTAGCGATCGATGCGCTCGTCTTCGCTAAGCCCTCTGACTTGGTCGCAGATTGCCAGAAATGACGCCGTGTATTCTTGGACAGAGCCCAACTGTCTCCACATCCGAAGCTTTGTGCAAGCATTTTCACGCATGGATATGTGCTCGAATCTGCCCTTCAACGCTTCGCCCCACGCTTTCCACGTGCAGATCGTGGTCGACCCAAAGATCGGTTATGCCTTCGCTGTTGATGAACTGTGCTCCCCATCTACCGCCCGTTGATTCCCTGCCGGGGCTCCTCCCTCGTCTAGATGCATGCATCACCAGTGGAGTGCCAGTCCCCTCAGCAGCGACACAGCCAAGTTGACACGTGATGCGTTGTCATTAATATTTGCTGCCGTGAAGAAGATTTTTATGGCGAACAGCCACCCGCTCACTGTAGTTGTCCTGTCGGTCGGGTTGAACGGTAGTGGCATCGGAGGTTTGATTTTAATGGCTGCCCGCAGCTCGCTGCGGAATTCTTCAACAAATCAGGTGTCGCTGACGCCCTCGCTTCGCTCGCAGCACCTTCGTCTCGGGTAACAGGCCGCCCCTGACGCGTCTCATCCCACGTCTAGCGAAGCGACGAGTTTTCGTTGCGCAACGTTTGTACTTTGCTTCCCAGCGACTCGAACTTATCGGCGAGTTGTTGAAGCTGGGCCTGCAGTGTCGTCATTGTAGCCGCCCTGGTCTGCAACTCGTCAAACTCCTCCTGAGTCACTATCCTAACACTATGACATGCAGAGGTTTCCGGTGTGGCCATGTTGGAAATTTTACCTGACATATCTGAGGGTGCACACGCTTTTAGTTGGAGGAGCTTTAACGAGCTCACCTACCAACCGCAGGCCAACCCCCTATTATGTCGGGTCCTCTCTCGATATAAACGGACTACTCTACGGAAGACTAAATGGGCAGGAACGGAGCTCTGATACCAACTATTATGAATTAATCAGAGTAATAATGGGGAGTGTAATAAAGGAGTTGTGATTCAAGAGTGTCGATGCAAATGAGGGCCTATGCATTTATAGGCACGAACAGAGCTAGCCGAGAACCACGCGAACGGGTTGGGGCAGTCCGGTTGGCGAAAGCTACGGAAGCCCTGCGCGTCTAGGTTTGGGTTCGCGAAATGGTTCGGGACCGAAGAAGTTGGCCGAGCCTGGACCTCCGAGAGTCGAGGGCGTACGCGTTGTAGTCGAGCCCAGTAAGGAAAAGGGATTTTCCTTACAGGAGGAATGGTCTTCACATAAGTGGGTGTTCTAAGCTTAGCGGACGTCAACTCGCCCCCAAACCTTCGACGTCCGATGTGGACATCAATCCAACACTGCACACCACTCCGGACATGTACACTTCTGGTTTAAGCTGCCCAAGCCAAAATGTTCCCGCAAAAATTCCGGAAACCATGCCACCTTCCGAAAACAGTTGCAAATAGAGAAGTAACCAGGTACTCCTGAACAGTAGTTCGCAAAAATCGTAAACAGAAAAAGGGTGTAGGAGGCATGTGAAACCACGTCAGCAGAAATCAAGCAACCCAAACCATCGGTGCCAAGTACAGTACAGTACCACGGTTTGAGTTTCGCGAATTTCACTCGGTCGGTTGGGTTCACATTTTTTTTGCGTTTTGAAACTGCCCTTGAAAAGCCAGATGATTTATGATGTGACGCCAATCTCCACTACAAGGTTTCGGTAGCAGGGCTAATTTTTCGTTTTTCAAGACACAACTGTCTCAGGATCCGCGTCACTAAAGATCATGAAAATTCAGCATTCCATGGGAAATCTCTCTTTATTTCACGATGACTTTGACCTTCAATCTGAAATTCATAGTGTTTTTTTGCGACTCCCTACATATCAGCGGAACCTGTGGGCACTTCGAGTACAAGCAGGAAGGACGTTGATGGAAGAAACGATGGAGAAGAATACATAACACACGCTTGTTGCTGCTGCTGTCCCTCACCACCACACAAAGTTCGACTCTTTCCTTAATCGCGACAGAAATGCGTACAATTTAGAGGGACAGTGCGCAACCTGGCTAAGGTGATTTTAAGGGGCTGTGATAGGTATGACAGCCCTGCACTTCTGTAGTTGTGAAAGTTCCGCGGGTCGCACCTTCAGGTTGCGTGGAAACTTGGTTAGGGTTGCGAAGGAATTGGGGGGGGGGGGGGGGGGGGGGGAGGGGGGGGGGAGTGTAGGGTTGCAATTCCAGCACGGGTAGTTTCCATGCCAGTCGGATGGCCAGGATAAATTTTCGCGCAATCCGGATTGCTCGGGGAGTTCCTTGGAAACACCCGGAATCAGTCAGGAGGTTAGTGAGTCGGAAACCCTCAAAATCAGAAGTTCAGCGGAAACGACCCGGAATGTACCTGACATTCCGGATGTTTACCCTTGAGCCGAGAGCCCTGTACGTGAGCCGTACTTCGGACACCCCGGAACTCAGCACTGTTGCGTGTACAGTAGTGGTAACCCGTTTTCCCTCGCAGTGACGTCCCATCCATGCTACTTCGGACACCCTCTAAATTGTTGGCTTCATTTTGGCTTTATCAATCTCAAGGCAGTCAGACTGCATGCCACATGTTCGGTATACAGTAGCTAGGTTGAGCTAACTCGAGGAACAGGTCGACCCTTGATACCTAACTGCTACACATGAAGTCCTTTTCAAGCCTTGTTTGTTTTCGAGTGGGTAATCCAGAATCGAGCGCAAAATTTTCACAGGCGAAATGGGCCAATATAAGGGTAGTCTGGTTACCTAATTGGCATTTTTCAGTCTAATGCGGGTGACCATTGTTGTTTCTTTTGCATTCCTCGAGCAACAGTGCAAGGCCTCAGAACGTCCCGTCTGCACGTTTGGAGGTCTCAGTATCAGATGTGGTAACTGTTGGAGGTCAGTGGGCCTCTGTAGTTTGGGCCGTTGCCCGTGTGTTCGAACCAATGGGTCTGTAGATGGACACGTGACGTCGAATGAATGGTCGATTCACTGGACAAAAGGTGTACTGCACGACCCTTGATACCCGGGCGTAAAAAGTCCGCGTGAGGTGGCACTGCCAAAGGCGCATGCAATTTCCAGTCGTAAATGCTTGTCTATGGGCTCGTTTCGGTTCGCAATATTTCGCGGTAACTGGCTGTCAATTTTTGCGACTCTCCACATTGACTGGTAGACGGGGCCTGTGCCGGTTTGTGAGGCCATGAAACGATCCGGCCACCTGTCAAACTCGCCTGACATGTGGGCAATATCTGCTTCCGCGTGTCATTTTGACTGTACCGTGTCTTTGATACGTATTCCGACCACGCCCTCAACTGTTTAGGAAATTTTCCTGGGCGGCAGAAGGGTATTTGCATACAACGTCCCAGAGCAAACGAGCGTGCCATTTCGGCGTCGTTCCTTACCAATTTGTGTACCATACACTCCCCAAGCACGCCCATCCAGCCACCTCATCTGTATGCTACCAACCGGATCAAAGGGGCTTGGAATTGGTCAGCCAATCTCTCCGTCACAGTCAGCCCGCGACTTGGCCACGCGAGATGTAACCAAGCCACCTTGCTGGTCGATGACGTGGCTTGGCGCCACATCCAGAAGCCAGAATGCAGAAGGGTGGCAGGAAATGGGGAAGGGAGACCAGGTGCGTGTTGTACCAACCTAGGGTTTCCTTTTTTTCCCAACTGAATGAGCTCACAGGAGTGTCTGGAGAGCTTCTGTTGTGCTTTCTTGGAGTTCTGCTATGTTTACTCTCCTTCGGCTCTACAGCGGCCAATGTCAGCTCCAGTAGACTTGCAATTTACTCCAGCCCCACATTCGAATTTGAAATTCGCCTCTCGACGCGACTCCGCTACCTCGTTCGATTCCAAGTTATCTTCAAAGCCTGTCGAGAGGACCTACCTTTTTGTGGTGGCGATTGGTGACACTTTTACACAGCGCTTTAGCAGCGTGCTTCGGAATCTCGCCTTACTCCACGAGAGACTAACAACTTGAGGTACAACATTCGTCTGCGTGTCACACGGAAGCCTACAATATCGCGACAGCTTTCGCCCTGCTCTCTTGGCTCGGAGTCCGGGCTGCCAACACGCCGCTCAAGGCTCGTCCGACCCGAAGCGTCATGAATACGCCTAGCGTTCTAGAATGACGAGCGCGACTGCGAGGGGGCTTGCTGCGAGTGGCGAGCAGCGGCGGCAGTCACAGCAGCCCTCCAGTGAAATTCCCGTCGTTTTACCCCACGCCCCGAGTTGCAATCCTTCCCAGGCCCAGGTCGCTGCCCGAGCAGTTGCCCAGCCGGCTGTCCTGACGGATGACCGCCATCCTCCCCAGAGGATGGCGACGCAGCCGCAGGAGCGAATGGAACATTCCAGCCGCGGAGTGCTGCACGCCGCCACCCCCTTGTCTGAGCGCGAGATTGCCGCGCTCGAACCCGCTAATCCCGACATGGACGACGCGCACGGCGATGCAGCTGCGACGGAGCGGTTAGTGTACGACGAGGAGGGTGAGAGGGAGAGAGGAGGGGAAGCAAGGGGAGGGGGAGGAGAGGAAGGGGGAGGATGGGGAGAACTGGGAGGCGGGGGAAAGGTGGCTGATGAAGGCGTGGAGGAAGCGGAGAGGGGCAGAGAAGGAGACCAGAGTGATAGTGGCGATGGCGGTGACGGGGAGGGTGGTGGAAAGGTGGGCACAGGAGGAGGTATAGAAGGGACTGCTGCCCAAGGGAAGTGGCGGCACCCTTTCCTCAGCTCAAAGAACAGGGCGGCAAGCTTCTCGTTGCCGGACCTGTGCGCGAGCGTGGGCGTGCCTCTGGACGTGCAGATCAAGTACGAGATCGCCGTGCTCAGACGCCTCCGCCCGCACCTCAGCACCAACCTCGTCTCCGCAGTGGTCTTAGCTAAGTACGGCGTGGACGTAACTCCCAGGAAGGTGCAGAAGATAGGGAGCGAGAGCAGAAAGTGGATCAAGGCAGGGGCCGTGCCTGCAGGGACCATGGAGATGACGCGGCTTGAGGACGAGGTGGCGGCGTGGGTGCTGCGAGAGGAGGAGGTGCGGAGGAGGGAGGTGACGGAGGAGAGGATTCTAGACCGCGGCAATGCCCTCGCGCCCAAGTACCTGCCGAGGATGAGCGCTCCCTTGACGCAGAAATGGGTTTCGGCCTTCATGAGGCGCTATGGCTTGCTGCTGCTGCCGCTCACTGAAGGGCCAGTGGGTGGCGAGGAGGAAGGAGAGGAGGAGAGCGGGAGTGAGGAGTCTTGGGATGAGGAAGGGGGCCAGGAGGGGATGGGGAATGGAGAGGGAAAGGGTACGGGCCAGAGGGAAACCGTTAAAGGTGGGGATGCAGTTGCGGGGCGAGGAGGAGGTGTGGTTGCGAAGCAGGGAGGGATGAGGGATGGGGGGGATAACGGCAGGGGGGAAAAGGGGATGGACAATGCTGGGGATGATGAGGAGGCATTGCAGCAGGGCAGGGACGGTGGGAGGAACCTGCAGGGTCATGGGGATGGTGGCAACAGTGGTGGTGGTTCTGGCGCTAAGGGCATGCGTGATATCGGGGAGGTGCAGGGTGTAAGTGGGTGGAAGGGGCAGGTTATATATAGGGGGCAAGGAAGCAGGCGAGGCCGGGGTTGGGGGCCAAAGATATGGGTGACGGGGTGGGGAACCGGTGAGTGCGAGGAGGGTGAGGAGGAGAGTGAGAGCGACAGCACAGGGGAAGAAGGTGAGAGTGGGGAGGAGAGTGGGGAGGAGAGTGAGGGGGAGATGGGGAAGGAGAGCGGCAAAGGAGGAAAGGTGGGAGTGAGGAGGGAGGTAGAGGCAGTGGTGGAGTTGGAGGTGGGTAGCAGGCACTTCGCTGCAGCGCTAGCTGCTGCTGAGCGGGCGGCGAGGGAGACAGTGAGGGAGCTGCAGAGGGATGTGGTGGAGGAGGCTGTGATAGATGCGGGGCTGCTTGTAAGGGGATCCGCGGGCCGTGGCAGCAGAATGTGGCTGCACTATCATGACCTGGCGAAGAGGGGGGCGGGTGGGGAACAGGGGCGAGGAGGAATGGGGGGGGAGGGCGAGGGGTATGAGAAGGGACAAGAGGGTGTGGGGGAAGTGGGAGGTGGGGAGGGTGAGAAGGGAAGTGGGGTTATGGAGGTGGATGAATCGAGTGAAGAGGAGGAAGGGGAGAGTGAAGGAAGTGCAGAGGAAGAAGAAGAGGACGAGGGAGAGGAGATGGTAGATGCAAGGGGAGAGGGGAAGGTAGAGGCAGGAGGGGAGGGGAGGGTACGGTTAGGAAGAGAGGTAGAGGCACGGGGAGAGCAGAGGGTCGAGAGGGGGGGGAGGGTAGTGGCAGGGTCAGTGTCCCGCGGCGCAAGGCCTCATCAGAACACGTCCAGCTGGTTCCGTTTCCAGCGCGTGTCGTGCATGGGTAACTTTTACCGCAAAATCCTCCCGTCTGAAACCCTCCTGGTAGACGCCTCTGGTTGCTCCGTAGAGCTAACACCTCCAGGAGCCAAGAAGGCTGCAGCTCAAAGGGTGGGTTCAAAAGGCCACAAGGGCAGTCCTACCAGCGATCAGAGCCCGGAGGGGGATGCTGTAGAGCGGCTCATCTGCCTGTGGCAGCCAGTGCGGAAGAAAGGGGGGGAGGGAGCAGGCGGAACGCGAATGCTGAAGGGAATTACACTAAGCCGGGTTCGGGCGCTCTGCCTCGTGGTGCAGGCTCGGCCGGGCCTCAGGCGGGCCGCGATTATAAAAATGGTGAAGAAGGCTTGGAATGTAAACCTGAGTCCCGGAGTGCTAATGGCCATCCTATCACAGAGGCGGCGGTGGCTGCAGCTGCCCAAGGGGCTCTCACTGCCTTTGCTCAAGAGGCCGCGCCTCAAGGCATCGAGGCTGCTGGAGGTAGCTCTGGCGCGGTGGGTGGAGGACATAGGCGCCGGGATCAAGATCTTCTGGGAGACCGTCTGCTGGCCCGCCCGCCCCGCTGCCGTCACTGTGCCGGCTGGGAGCGGTGGGGGCAGCGTGAGGGTGCAGTATGTGCTAAGAAAGGAGGTGATTATAGAGGTGGCAAAGAGAATCGGGCCGCTGGTGGGAGTGGTGCCAGGGTTTCGGTTCTCGTATAACTGGTGCTCGCGGTTCGTGCAGGTGGTGGCAGAGTGCAGGGAGCTGCAGTGGCTGTGGGCGTGCGAGCGGGAACGGGTGCAAGCAGTGGGGGAGCGCGGACTCCTTGGGAATTCTCAATGCACAAGAGCAGGTAGGGCAAGAGGGGGACAGGATGTTGGGGAGACAGTGCAGATGACGGTTGAGGAAGGGGGTTTGGTTGAAAAGGAGGAGGGAGGGGCAGGGGCAGGAGATGGGGAGGGGGATATGAGGAGGAAGGTAAGGCGAGTGGAAGGAGAGAAAGTAGAGGGCAAGGAGGACAGGGCGAAGGAGAAGGAAAAGGCGAACGAGCGGGAGAGGGAGAGGGAGAGGAAAAAGGAGAGGGAGAAGGAGAGGGAGAGGGCGAGGGCGAAGGAGAAGGAGAGGATAAAGGAGAGGGAGAAGGAGAGGGAGAGGGCGAGGGAGAAGGAGAAGGAGCGGGAGAAAGCGAGGGAGTATGCGAGGGAGAAGGCATGGGAGAAGGAGGTGGAGAAGGCGAGGCAGAGGATCCAGAAGGAGGGTGGTGGGCGTGATGGCAAGGGACGAAGCAAATGGGTGAAGTGGGATGAGGCATGGGAGCCCTGGGGACAGAGAAGCGGGGCTATGAGAGGGGAGGGGGTGCTGGCGAAATGGATCAAACGACGGTTGGATCCGGTGCAGAGGGAGACGGAGGATGATGGGATGGGAGGTTGGAGAGCAGCGCATGGCCGCCCCCCTGTTCTGCTGTCTGCCACGACCATCCACCGCTTCGCCCTTCACCTGGTGCTCAGATGCAACATGCCGTTATGCCCCCCATCCCTGCCTCCCTCCACCTCCTCCGTGCCGCCCCGCTCCTCCTCCTGCGCCGGTCCCGCCTTCACTCGCGAGTGGATGCTTGCTTTCTTCCATCGCTGGGATATCGACCCAAACCGCATCCACGGGCTGCACCAACTGCCATCTGCTGCCATGGCTACTCATACCACTGCCGGTGGTGATGCTGTTGGTGCTGCTGCCGCTCTAGACACTGCTGCTGCTGGTACTGCTGCCACTCTAGACACTGCTGCTGCCGGTACTGCTGCCACTCTAGACACTGCTGCTGCTGGTACTCCTGCCGCTCTAGACACTGCTGCTGCTGGTACTGCAGCCACTCTAGACACTGCTGCTGCTGCTGCTGCTGCCACTCTAGACACTGCTGCTGCTGGTACTGCTGCCACTCTAGACACTGCTGCTGCTGCTGGTACTGCTGCCACTCTAGACACTGCTGCTGCTGGTACTGTAGCCACTCTAGACACTGCTGCTGCTGCTGGTGCTACTGCCATTCTAGACACTGCTGCTGCTGGTACTGCTGCCACTCTAGACACTGCTGCTGCTGGTACTTCTGCCGCTCTAGACACTGCTGCTGCTGGTACTGCAGCCACTTTAGACACTGCTGCTGCTGGTGCTGCTGCCACTCTAGACACTGCTGCTGCTGGTACTGCAGCCACTCTAGACACTGCTGCAGCTGCTGGTACTGCTGCCACTCTAGACACTGCTGCTGCTGGTACTGTAGCCACTCTAGACACTGCTGCTGCTGCTGGTGCTACTGCCATTCTAGACACTGCTGCTGCTGGTACTGCTGCCACTCTAGACACTGCTGCTGCTGGTACTGCAGCCACTCTAGACACTGCTGCTGCTGGTGCTGCTGCCACTCTAGACACTGCTGCTGCTGGTACTGCTGCCACTCTAGACACTGCTGCTGCTGCTGGTACTGCTGCCATTCTAGACACTGCTGCTGCTGGTGCTGATGCCACTCTAGACACTGCTGCAGCTGCTGGTACTGCTGCCGCTCTAGACACTGCTGCTGCTGGTACTGCAGCCACTCTAGACACTGCTGCTGCTGCTGGTGCTACTGCCATTCTAGACACTGCTGCTGCTGGTACTGCTGCCACTCTAGACACTGCTGCTGCTGGTACTGCTGCCGCTCTAGACACTGCTGCTGCTGGTACTGCAGCCACTTTAGACACTGCTGCTGCTGGTGCTGCTGCCACTCTAGACACTGCTGCTGCTGGTACAGCTGCCACTCTAGACACTGCTGCTGCTGCTGGTACTGCTGCCATTCTAGACACTGCTGCTGCTGGTGCTGCTGCCATTCTAGACACTGCTGCTGCTGGTGCTGCTGCCACTCTAGACACTGCTGCTGCTGGTACTGCTGCCGCTCTAGACACTGCTGCTGCTGGTACTGCAGCCACTCTAGACACTGCTGCTGCTGGTGCTGCTGCCACTCTAGACACTGCTGCTGCTGGTACTGCTGCCACTCTAGACACTGCTGCTGCTGCTGGTACTGCTGCCACTCTAGACACTGCTGCTGCTGGTACTGCTGCCACTCTAGACACTGCTGCTGTTGGTACTGCTGCCGCTCTAGACACTGCTGCTGCTGGTGCTGCTGCGACTCTAGAAACTGCTGCTGCTGGGACTGCTGCCGCTCTAGACACTGCTGCTGCTGGTACTGCAGCCACTCTAGACACTGCTGCTGCTGCTGGTACTGCTGCCACTCTAGACACTGCTGCTGCTGGTACTGCTGCCACTCTAGACACTGCTGCTGTTGGTACTGCTGCCGCTCTAGACACTGCTGCTGCTGGTGCTGCTGCGACTCTAGAAACTGCTGCTGCTGGGACTGCTGCCGCTCTAGACACTGCTGCTGCTGGTACTGCAGCCACTCTAGACACTGCTGCTGCTGGTACTTCTGCCGCTCTAGACACTGCTGCTGCTGGTACTGCCGCCACTCTAGACACTGCTGCTGCTGGTACTGCTGCCACTCTAGACACTGCTGCTGCTGGTACTGCCGCCACTCTAGACACTGCTGCTGCTGGTACTGCTGCCACTCTAGACACTGCTGCTGCTGGTACTGCTGCCGCTCCAGACACTGCTGTTGCTGGTACTGCCGCCACTCTAGACACTGCTGCTGCTGGTACTGCTGCCACTCTAGACACTGCTGCTGCTGCTGCTGCTGCTGCTGCTGCTGAGGAAGCATCATCACTGAAGGGGCCGCGATTAGCAGCACACGAGCACAGGCCGAAGCGACAGAGGCAGCTAACAGCATCGGCAGCAAGAGCAGCTGTGGGGGCGGGTTTAGTGCCACTAGGACGAAAGCGAGAGAGGCAAGGAGCACAGTGGGCGCAGCTGATAGCAGAGGCAGCGCAGTCAGAGGCGTCAGCGGAATCAGCAGTGGAGGCGGGGATAGACCTGCAGGAGTGGGCGGATGGGCGCGATGTGAAGGCGCTGCTATGTGCCCTGGACGGGGAGAGGTGGCGCATTCGCATCCGCGTGCGGCAGGGCATGAAGTGGCGCAGCTGGCTGGAAAAACAGCAGCAGCAGCAGCAGCAGCTGGAGATGGGCACAGGCCAGAGGGGGGTGAAAGGGGAGGGAGAGGAGGGTGGGTTGGCAGCGAGTGGTGCTGGCAGGAGTGAAGGGGTTGGTGGGGGTGAGGGGGGTGGTGGGAAGGGTGCGAGGGTGTGGCGGACTGCTCTGTTCAACATGCCGTATTACTATGACCCTCTGGAGGACCGGGGTGGTAAGGGCGGGAGGCGCGGATGGAAGGCGAAGGATGAAGAGTGGCGAAGGAAAGTGAGGGCTGGAGAAGTGGATGTGGGAGTGAAAGTGAAAACGGAGGAAGTTGAGTGGGATGTGGCGTCCATGGGAGGAATAGAAGGAGCAGGAACGTGTAGTGGAATGATGGGAGGTGACGCGATGGACAGCGATGGGGTGGATAGTGGGGGCGAGCTTGGAGAAGGTGAGGGAGAAGCAGAGAGAGGAGGGGCAGGGAGAAGACAGGGGAGAGGAGGACGGGGAAGGAGCGAAGGAGGGAGAGGAGGAGGGGGACGACAAGGGAGGAGAGCTCTTTCAGTGAAGGGAGCCAACTGGGAAGGCTTGTGGAGTTTCGCTGATGGGGGAGATGGTGGACGAGAGGATGATCGTGCAGCTGCTGTGGATGGCGGTGCAGGCAGTGGCGTGGGTGGTGGTGATGGTGTGGCAGTGGACCACGCTCCACTTCCCTCTCACCAGCTGCCAATGCCACCGCAGCAGCCCGATCTGCAGCAGCTGCAGCGTCAGCAGCACCAGCTGGTGCATCAACAGCAGCAGCAGCAGCAGCAGTGGCAGCAGCAGCATCAACAACAGCAACAACATCAGCAGCAGCAACAACAACTACAGGTGCAGCTACAGCTACAGCAGCAGCAACAGCAACAGCAACAGCAGCAGCAGCAGTTGTGGCGGCCTGGCTGGCAAGCACCTGGAACTGTGTGGCAGATGGCCGGCAATGGCTGTCAGCAAGTGGTGCCTCCAGCAGCCGTGCCTGGTTGGCGGGCAACTACGAGACCCAGTAGCCCATGGCAGGCCGGTGCACCCAACACTCCATGGCAAGGTGCCGCGCCCTGCCCACCCAGCTGCACGTCGCAACCCGATGGCCCCAATGCTGCATGGCAGGCCAGTGCACCCAGTGACCCATCGCAACCCTCCATGGGAGCATGGCCTGTAGCTGGAGGGGAATGCCACACACTTGCAGCAGCAGTGCCAGCAGAAGTGGTGCCAGCAGCAACAGTTGCAGCAGGAGCAGGAGCAAGAACACCAACAGCACCAGCGGCAGGAGCATCGACACCAGCAGAAGCCGCAGCAATGGTGGCTACCAGCGCAGCAGCAGGAGCAATACCAGCTGCAGTAACCGCATGGCTTCAGCAGCAACTGCAGCAGCAGCAGGAGAGGCAACTACAACAGCAGTTGCTGCAGCAACTGCAACGACTGCTCTTACCCCAGCAGCAGCCACATCAGGAGCAGCGTCAACAGCAGTTGTTGCATCAGTTGCAACAACTACTACTACCCCAGCAGCATCAGCCGCAAAAGCAACAACAGCAGTTGCTGCAGCAGCTGCAACAACTACTCTCACCCCAGCTGCAGCAGCAGCAGCATCAACAACAGGAGAAGTTGCTGCAGCAGTTGCAACAACTTCTCTTACCTCAGCAGCAGCAGCAGCAGCAGCAGTTGTTGCATCAGTTGCAACAACTACTCCTTCCCCAGCAGCAACAACAGCAGCAACAACAGCAGCAACAGCAGCAGCAACAACAGCAGCAACAGCAGCAGCAACAGCAGCAGCAACAACAGCAGCAACAACAGCAGCACCAGCAGCAGCAACAACAGCAGCAACAACAGCAGCAACAGCAGCAGCAACAGCAGCAGCAACAACAGCAGCAACAACAGCAGCAACAGCAGCTACAGCAGCAACAGCAACAACAGCAACAACAGCAGCAAGAACAGCAGCAATGGCAGCAGCAGCAGGAGCTGCAGCTGCAACAGCAACCTTCATCAACAACCACTCAGGCTCTAATCCCTGTCAGTTCCGCCTCTACACTTCATCCCAATACCCCGGCCCGCCCTCCTTACCCAGCGAATCAATCATATCCCCCTGCCCAACCACCCTATCCGTACTTCCTGCCATATGCTCCTTTCCCTCCCTACCCATCCGCCCAGCCCTTCCAACCCCAGTCTGCACCTCCCCCAAGTATGCCTGCCTGGCCACAGCAGGCACATGCCTCACAACCTCCTCCTGCTCCTGTCCCTGCTGCTTCTCCTGCTGCTGCTGTTGGTGGTGGTGCTGCTGCTGTTCCTGCTGCTTCTGCTGGTAGGGGTGGGGAGGGTCTTGGAGTCACTGCCAAGGCGGGGAATAAGGCTGCTGAGTTGGGGAAGGAGAAGAGGAGGAGAGAGCTGGAGCAAAACGAGTTAGTTGAGGTGGTAGGGAATAAGAAGAAGGGACGATTGCAGCAGCAGCAGCAGCTGGTTGGGCAGAAGAGGAAACCACAAGAGCAAGTGCCGCAAGGTCTCGCAGGAAAGCGGGCAGCACGGAAATCAGCTTTTCAAGATGCGTGGAAAATGCTGATGGTTGGAGGGCATATGGAAGGTGAGGGTAGAGCGCAGGGTAATGCTGCCAGGGAAAGTGATGATGGGGATGAGGACGCAGGGGACGAGGAAGAAGAGGTGGATGAAGAGGACGTTGAGGATGTAGAGGAGGAGGATGTAGTAGAGGTTGTGGTGAGGAAAGGTAGGGTGCAGGATAGTAGTGTGGGAGAGAGGGAGGAGAGGAGGAGGCACGGGAAGGGACAGAAGAGGAAGGTGACATGGGGTGGTGTGGCTGACATGGGGTGATGTCAGGCATGCGTGCATGGTTCTTGCGACCACTGCAACAAGGACTGTAGTGACAAGCATTCTGAATGTACAGGTCGTATTCTACTAACGCAAGCTTCAAGGACGTAGGAAATTGCACTTAGAGAATATCGAAGTGCGACCCTGGCAAAATTGTTGATAACGTTTCCGGGGTTGGAGCGTCGTCGTTCGCGTACTGTAGAGGGGCGGGGAGGCTGTCTTTTGTGCCAACCATGTCCACGTAGGCAGACGCTCAGTTTTCGTAATGTGTCGCACAACCAAGTTTCATTTTTTTACAGAATCTGAGGCGTTGCAAGTTGCAACTGTCAACTTATACATATGTTAGATATGTAGTAGTTATAGGCTAGATATATAGCCTGCCCTACTCCTCTTCCTGTTGCGGCCCCCAGCTGGTGCAGTTGTGGTGATGGCGGACGCTGTGCTCCGCCTGGACGCCGAGGGTCGGGCGGTTCCCCGACCTCCACCGCCAGCTAAAGGGTCAGCGCCAGGACAGCCAGTCCATGGCCGTTCATGTCGACGGTACGCTCCCGTGCCCCGACCCGCTTGCTGCCCTCCCTAATGCCCCCACGCCTGCTGAGCTTGAGGCTTTCACAGCTGCTGAGCTCGCCTGCTCTGTCAAGGAGTCGTGTGACGCTGTTGCGCTACTTGCTATCAATCACGCCCCCCCCCAGTCCGAGCGTCCCCGCTTTCAGGCTGTACAGACTATGAAGGAGTTTCTAGATGCAGTCATTGCTCGCTATTCCACTCCCTCCTCCGCCTCTGTTGGCCATCTCCTCCTACCCCTGCTCTTCCCTGTTCTTGCATCTTTCCCAACTATCGCTTATCTCGCCACTCACCTGCGCGCTCTTGAGAATAGCTACCGCACTGCTAGCACAGAGGCACAGCTCACTATCCTGCCTCCCCCCCTCGGCGCTACCCTTTATTTCTTTGCCACGCACCTCCCTGACCGCCTAGCCACTGCCCGCGACGCCTTCCTTAGTCTACACCTCGCTGACCTCACCCTTACCGACTTTGCCACCACCCTGTCCGCTTTAGAGACCCACCGGCGCACTATCGCTCAGTCTAGTGGTACTGCGGCGGTCCCTATCTGCAAGGGCTGTGCTCCCTCCCAGTGCACTTACTCTGACATTTCCGCTGCTGTCGCTGAGACAGTCCTTATCACCGAGATCGCCAACGCGGCCTCAGCGCAGCCTCGTCAGGGTAAGGGCCGTCGCCCCAGAGGGGGGCGTGGGAGAGGGAGGGGTGGCAGGGGTGGCGTGGGTAGTGGAGGCAGTGGCGGTGGTGCTGACGCAGGAGGTGCGAACGAGGGGGTGGGCGCTGCCGCCCCAGAGCAGCAGCAGCAGCCACAGCCACAGCAGAAGCAGCAGTGGGGGGCACCGACGCCGTGGTGGCCCGGCAGCTTTGGAGGTGGTGGCCGCGGAGGCGGCCCTCCCAGCTCGACGTCGGGTGGTGGCTCCAGCTCTGTGAGTTGCCAATACCAGATCCAGTCTGCTCCCCTTCATGGCACCGTGTGTGACCGCCCCGGTCACACCGCTGCCCGCTGCTACCGCCGCCTCGACGACCTTCGGGCCCACGTCGTCCCTCCCGGATTTGCACAGCCTGGTACGCCGTTGTGTGCCGGTCTTTGAGTTAGACATGGATCATATTCGCTGTGCTATGGATGCCATGTATGCTCTTGACTCTACTATGACTGGACCCTATTACCCTATGTTGCCTAGCCTAGGTGTGCCTGCTGTGTATAGTCTAGGCTCCCCTGCTGTATTAGGTGTAGGATCTCCTACCTTGTTTAGCCTAGGCTCCACGCTAGTGCCCCTGCCGGCTGACGCTACGGCCACGCTCTCCTGTACGCTGGACTCTGGTGCATCCGCCTGCTTCTTCCACAACTGCACTGCTCTCACGTCACTTGCCGTTCCAGCAACTGTCGCCCTTGCTGACCCCTCCTCCTATCCGGTAGTTGCACGTAGCTCCAATATACTTCCCTGTCCGGCGGCTCCCTCAGGTTCTCTCACAGGTGTGCACCTCCCCTCGTTCTCCAGGAACCTAGTGAGTGTCGGCTATCTTCGGGACCTCGGCGTCACCACTGCGTTCCATGGTCACAAGCGGTACACCGTCTGTACTGACATCGCCAGAGGTGCCCCCCTCACCACGTTCCCCCGTGACCCGATGTCTGGCCTTTTCACGCTGGACACCACGCCCCCCCCGGTGGCTGTATCCCCCCAGGTGGCTGCGTCTACCCAGGTTGCCGCGGCTTGTTCTTGTCGGTTGCTCACTCACCCGTTGCTTCTGTGGCACCACTACCTAGGTCATCCTGCACTCTCGCGTGTTCCTCACATGTCCCAGCACGGTCTTGTCTTAGGTCTTCTTGCGTCGCTCCCTGCCCTCCCTCCCTCGCCCGCGCCTCCGTGCACGCCTTGCGTTGAGGGCCGACTGTGCCGTGCTCCTCACTCCTCCTCATTTCCCCCCACTATTGTGCCACTCCAGACCCTGCAGTTGGACGTTTGGGGCCCCGCCCCCCGCCTCGGGCCGCGTCGCGAGCGCTATTTTCAGGTGCTCGTTGACGGACTACACACGCTACACCACGGTGTTTCCCCTAGAGCGGAAGGCTGACATGCCTGACGTTATTATCCCGTGGCTTGTCACTGTGTTTGTCCACCGTGCCCTGCCTGTGCGTTGTCTCAACTCTGACCATGGCGGTGAGTTTGCCTCGGGTCGGCTTGGTCAATTATGTCGTGCGGAGGGCATCAACCAGTTGATCACCCTGCCAGACTCCCCACAGCAGGATGGGGTTGCTGAGCGACGCATCGGTTTCGTTATGGAGGTGGTTCATACCTCCATGATCCATGCCGATGCACCCCATTTTTTATGGACGTTCGCGGTGCGCTACGCCGCTCACCACCTTAACTGGTGGCCGCACTCCAAGCAGCCACGGGTTTCGCCGACCCTTCTTTGGACCAGGTCCCTTGGTGACGCGTCTGCGTTTCACATTTTGGGCTGCCTCGCTCATGTCGGTGCCTCTGGTGCGGACAAGCTCACCGCCCGCACCGTCCCCTGTGTCTTTCTTGGTTTCCCCCTAGACGCTTCTGACTGGCACTTCTACCACCCGGCGTCTCACCGTTTCTTTCACTCGCGTGACGTCACCTTTGATGAGTATGTCTCCTTCTACACTCACTTCCCTCACCGTGGTATCCCTTCCCTGCCCCTGTTCCTTGTCCCCATTCCCCCGGTAGCTACCGCTCCCCGTCCTGCCCCGTCTGCTGTGTCTCACATCACTACCCTTTCTTCGGTTGGCCCGGCGGAGGAGTCTGCTGACTCCAGAGGCCCAGAGGTTCCAGGTGAGCCGCCTGCTTTTGCGATGCCTGCACCCTCGGCCCCAGTGCCTCCTCTGCCGCCGCAGTCGCAGAAGTCGACGTCGTCGCAGCAGCAGGAGCAGGGGTCCGTTGGCTCTGAGGGAGTTGGCGCTTGGGGTGCTGGTTCTAGGGAGGGTGCTCCTTCTAGAGGCGCCAGTCCTGGGGAACTGTCGTGGCTAGTCCCGACGGTCCTGGGGGTGGTGCGGGTGCTGGGGAGGGTTCTAGTTCTGGGGGTGTTAGTCATGTGGGTGCTAGTCCTGGGGGTACTGTCGTGGAGAGTCCCAAGGGTAGCCGTGGTGCAGCTGGAGGTCCTGGTATGGGCGCAGAGCAGCAGCAGCAGTCTCCGCTGGTTTCCACCCTTCGCCTTCTCAGTCTTCCCTCCCCCGACCGATCGCCAGCGCCTCCCCCAGCGCCACCTCAACCCCCTGTCTACGGTCGTGTGTTTCATCCGTCGGACTCATCCCTGGCCCGTTTCTCTCCTCGTTCTCCTCCTGTGTCTCCTCCATTGTCACCTGACCCTACACCCCCCTCTCGCTGGTGGTCTTACCGCCCCTCTCGTGCTCGCCCCGTCTCTCTTGCTCCGAGTGTTCACCCTATGTCTCTCCATTCTCACGCGTCTAGTGCTCCTCTGCTCCTCTTCTCCTTTCGCCTCCTCAGTCGTCCCTAACTGCCTCCTCGCCTCCTTTCTCTGACTTCCTTCGTGCTGCTCGCCCTATTGTTCCTCGTGTCATCGCCTCTCTTGTTACCGGCCCGTCCATTCTTGTCTCTAGTCTCGATGCTCTTGTCGCTGCCTTCATTGACTTTGCCTCTACCTGCCGCCTTGACTACGCCACTGCTCTGGTCTCTAACCCTGCCCGTCCTCGGTCTGCCGGGGTTGCACCTGCCCTTGGAAATGACGTTCTAGAGGACAGGCAGTACGAGCTAGCTTTCCTGTCCGAGGCCGCTCCTCATCTCTGCTCCATGCTGCTAGCCCCTGAGTGTGACCCAGACGCCCTTGACATCCCGACCCCTCGCACCTACGCTGAGGCAACTTCGGGACCCTGGGCCTCTCAGTGGATAGCTGCCATGGACGCAGAGATGGCATCTTGGAGATCCACAGGCACCTACATCGACGCAGCTCCCCCACCTGGGGCGAACGTAGTTGATGGCGGGTGGCTCTTCAAGGTGAAGCGCCCTCCTGGAGAGCCGCCGGTGTTCAAGGCGCGCTACGTTGCTAGAGGCATCAGTCAGCATGAGGGTGTTGACTTCTTTCAGGCCTTCGCCCCGACCCCGAAGATGACCACTCTTCGGGCGTTGCTTCATGCAGCAGCACAGTGCGATTACGAGCTTCACTCACTCGACTTCTCCACGGCGTTTCTACAGGGCAGTCTTTACGAGCAGATCTACCTGCTCCGTCTGCCAGGCATCTCTGGCACTTTTCCTCCTGGGACCAAGTGGTTCCTCCAACGCCCGGTTTTTGGTCTGCGGCAGGCGCCTCGTGAGTGGCATGATACGTTGCGTGCTACGCTAGTAGACCTTCAGTTCTTTTCGTCCTCTGCTGACCCATCACTCTTCGTTCGCTCAGGCCAGACTCTGTTCTGCATCCTAGTCTACTTAGACAACCTGGACTTTGCACTGCAGACAGAGACGTACTGGCCGCGGTGAAGGCCGAGCTGCTGAGGAGACACACCTGTACTGACCTAGGAGAGCTGCGCCACTACCTTGGGTTGCATATCTCTATGGACAGAGCAGCGTGCACTATCACTCTCACACAGCCACACTTGGTGTGCCAGGTCCTTTAGAGGTTCGGCCTTCAGTTCTCCTCCGTACAGCCCACCCCTCTGCCAGTGGATCATAGGCTCTCGGCTCTAGTCCTTGACGAGTCAGTTGAGCCAAGTGGTCAGTACGTAGAGCTTGTGGGTTGCCTCATGTACCTGATGACTTGCACTCATCCAG